GATTTGCTTTTTTAAAACTTTACTTAAATTTTTTTCATTGATTTGCTATGTTAAAACTTTACTTAAATTTTTTGTTTTAAAAATTAAAAATATTAAAAAATAAAATTAAAACTACTATTGTTGAATTGAGGGAGTAATTAAGTGGTTAGAGTATCTCTTGTAGTCATAGAAGTAAATTCATTGTTTGATTGATACATTTTATGAGAATATTGCAAATAAGTCATGGCTATTATACAAAATTAGAGTCTCAACATCGAAAGCACAGTACTTGTATTAAATATTTTTAAAAACTGACTATTAGGTTAGATGCTTTATTCATATAAATTATACGATACCAATTTTCAGATTGATTTTATATAACTAATTGGTTTATTATTATTACACAAAATTAAATACTATTAAATATATATTAAAAATATAGTTTCTTAATCAAATGATTATAAAAGTTAAATCTACTTAAAAATTGATATATATAATTATTATATTAATAACATACTAAATCTAACAATTAATTTTTCAAAATATTTATTAAAAAAGATGATTTGAAGGTTATGATTTTAATGTTTTTTTAAATTGAGACTAATATGAACTATTCTCATAATATATTTTAAATTTTAATCTAACAAATATTTGATTTTTATTTATTTCTCTGATATACAGAAATTTAAATTAGAACAGGTTAAAATTTAAAAAAAAAAAACAGAAGGTACATCAATGCTGGCTGTTATAAATACTAGGAAATGTTCAAAACAAGTAGTTAATTTAGACTTTAGAAGGGGGAAAATGTCACACTATTCCGTTTTTTTTTTTTTTTTTTAGGATAGCAAATTACCCACTCAAAAAAGGGAGATAGTTTTGCATGTATTTTTATATTACATATTCAAAGTATCAGACATATATAAATTAGTTGTAAAATAGTTAATAGTTAAATTAGAATAAGAATATATACCTCACTTAAATGGTTGGTGGTTTCTCCAAATGACTCAGAAGATGGGATAAACCGATAAAGGATGTGCTAATAAACGACTTCTTCATAGACTGCGTGTAAAATGAAAACCATAATGCAACAAAGTTAAAAAGTAGAAAAAAAAAAACAAAAATAAATAAATAAACGAAGCTTTTGAGAGAAGAAACCTTAAAGTAATTAAATTAAAAAATTATAACCGGTGGCATAAAACTTGTGCTTCTTCAATTTGTGGGTTTTGAGAAGATAAAAAATGCAGATGGTTGAATAGACAGTGGAATTTGCCATAATAATGATGCAATCTGTAAAAGAGAGTACATAGTAGCATGAGATCGTAAGTGGATATCCCAATACCCACTGAAAAAAAGGGGTAATATTATTATATATATTTAAACCAAATGCTTAAGTAAACTTACAAAATTAAGTAATAAGAATGGATTTATTTTAAATAAAAAATAAAAAAAATTCACTCATAAATTTTTTAATTTAGATAAATTATCTCAAATTGAACGAGTGACACCAAATAATATCAATAATTCATTAATAATATATTATCAACATTGCGATAAATTAATATATTATTGATATTATCTGGCATTATATGTTAAATTTAAAATAATTTGTTTAAATAAAAAATTTTGTGGATGGATCCATCCCTATTGCTTATTGCTTAACTTTGGGATGAATTTAGACATTCTATCATTTTTTTTGTTATTACATATTCAAAAAAATGAGATATAAATTAATCATAAAATAATTAATAATAAAGTGAAAGAAGAAAATTTACCTCAATTAAATAGCTGGTGCTTTCTCCAAATGACCCCGAATCATGAGAGAAAGAATGTGCTAACAAAAAAAGGACACTAATTCATGCACACCACTCCTTACACACCCCCGTTACATACTTTACCAGTTTCCCTTATATACATTGACGGTCTCCCAACTCACCCAATCCTTTCTGTCCTCACTAGATTCATCTTCCTCCTCACCTCCATCCTTATCCTAATCATCTGCAAGATAATTGCCAGCCCTCTACCAAGTTCCCACCTTCTTCATTTTTTCTTTTTTCTTTTTTTTACCTAGGTTCTCCGAGATCCTGATCTGAGTTCTCTTGAAGAACCTAGACATGGGTTCTCTTGGAGGAGGATGATGGAGGGGAGAGAGAGAGAGAAAAAAAAAAAGAAGAAGAAGAAAGAAAGAGGAAGAAGATAATGGATGAAGAGGATGATAACAGAGTTAAGTGTAATTAACAAAAAATAATGAAAATTAAAAGGTGTAACAGAATGTGTGGATAAGTTAGGTAAACCTAACATTACCCAACAAAAAAACTTCTTCACAGATTGCGTGTAAAATGAAAACCAAAATGCAAACCAAGTTACGAAGAAGAAAAGGAAAACACATATATAAGTATATAAAAAGCTTTTGAGAGAAGAAAGAAAACGGAAATTAAATTAAAAAATTATACCTGCTGACCTGAAAATTGTGCTTAATTCTTTAATTTGAGGGCTTTGAGAAGACAAAAAATGCAGATTGCAGATATGTTGTAGATTGTACCAAAATGATTATGCAATCTGTAGAATAGAGTACATAACTTGAGAGGTTAAGTGGTACTAAATTCGGTTAATTAATGGATAAAATCAGAAGGCTGAAAAGAAATATGATGAGAAGGAGAAAAGCATCATACCATTCCTAAAGCCCAAAATATATAAACATAAAGCTTATTATCTATTTTCCAACAAAAGTGGAGAGATTGTTGAACAGAATTTCATATTAAAAGACATTGAATTTTAATTTTTTAGATAAAAACACATGTGACAGGGGATAGCAACGGTCAGGGTACAGCCAATCTCTAACCCTTAGTTACCCACAACTTTGGAGACAGGGATTTCGCGAGAAATTTTTGCAGAAGCAAAAGTTCTTACCCTTCCTCAGCCCCATACTCATAGAAATTAAGGATAACTTTTTATATAATTTTTTTATATAATTTTTATACAATTTCTCATATCATTTAATGAATAGATGTACTCAATATTATAGAGTCTAAATAAATAAAAAAAACCAATTATTTGTTTGACATATAAAGTTGTATTGAAAAGTAATATAAAAAAAAATTGTTTGAAAAGGTGATACAAAAATGTTATTCTTGAATTATTTTCCTTTCACATTTAAGTTGCCATTTTCTTTCCACAAGACCAAATTTTGATAAGAGTAGTAATATAGAGTATAAAAATTTAAGACTAATGATATAGCAAAAATCATGTCATTTAATAAACTGATACATATGATATAATGAATTTTAATAAACAAAAAAATTAATTATTAAATAATATATAATTTACATTTTAATATTTTTAATAATATGACATATATTATATCATTAATTTTAAATTTTAGTCCCATAAGATTTATCTCTTTTATAATTTTTTTTTATAAAAAAATAGAGAAAATTAAGTCA